GGCGGGGCATAGAGGAGAAACAATAATGTACAGTATGTGGAAAATGTGTTTTTTTTTTACTTTAAACCGCATAAACACATTTCATTACACCTAATGTTCTTTTTAGCAGCATCATATGACCCCTGTGTAAAGCAGATGAATGACTGAAACTCTTCCCGCATGCAGTGCAGTGATACGGTTTCTCTCCAGTGTGGATCCTCTCATGTAATTTCAGATGTTCTGACTGACTGAATCTCTTGTCGCAGTGTGAACACTTGTATGGTTTCTCTTCAGTGTGGATCCTCATGTGAATCTCAAGACTCTGTTTGTTTGTCAAACTCTTTCCACACTGAATGCAGGTTAAATATTTCTCATCTCTTCTTGTCTTTAAATCTTTCTGTTTGGTTTGAGAGCGAATCAGAGGTTTTTCTCCAGTTTTGACATGTTTCTCCTCTTCATTCAGTTCTTTATTCCCCTCGTTTTCTTCAATCAATTCGGAAATTAAAGTAAAATGTTTAATTTTCAGTAAATCACAGAGAAATGTGAAAGGAAAGGACATTAAAGTGATTGTTCTACAAATCTTTCATCATAAAGATGCACTTTATAAATTACATGTTCCTGAAAATTTGACATGAGGTACATTGATCTTCCTATTATTACGTTTAATTATTATGTTACGTTTCTATAGTGCGACTATTAAATATATTAAATCAACTCCAGAAGTTTATAGAAAGTGCCCTTATACACTTAAAAAAGGTGCCATGAAGAACCAAAAAGGGGGTTTCGAGGCGATGCCATAGAGGAACCATTTTTGGTTCCCTGAAGAACCATTTTGTGTAAGGTTCTTTAAAGAACCGGTGTTTTACTTTGTGCCATAAAGAACCTTTTCTGGTACTACAAAGAACCCTTTTTAAAGGTTCTCCAAAGAACCACTGATGAATAGGTTCTTTATGGCCCCATTTCCTCCAGATCAATATCCTCACATGTATCATACTATAAAATTTCTTTAATAGGATTGTTCATAAAATCATTTTGAAAAAAAAAAAAAAAAAAAAATCCAGAAGTAAAAAGACTTGACAAGATACATGATTAAAATTTTTATTGCATTTACAATATACATCAATGCAGTATACATCATACCTCAATACTGTGTGTGTGTGTTTAATAGGGATGTGCACAAGTACTAGAGTACTCAGACTAGACAGCAATTATTGATCATTTTTTAAAGTCACTGCAATCATCGTTTTCATGATCAATCGTCGCTGTGAAGTCTGAGTACTTCAAATATTTCTCTTTTTCTGATTGGTTATGGTAGCATTTTGGGTGGTACCTGAGGTCTGACTAGTTAGTGTTAGAACAGCATGCCGTCCAGACCATCAAAATAAAGACCTATCAGTACTTGAAATGAAACATTGACAACAATGTCCATCCCTAGTGTGTGATATAGTGAATGCGGCAGGTTAATGTCAGTATCCCCATCATCCACTACTATGCCCTTTTTCATCCCATCCTTCTGATTAATGGTTGAGGCTGGGTACATAGGATCCTGTCAAAAAAAAAAAACCCTTTCATTAGTTTCTTAATTTTCATAGGTTTAGCACAAGTATAATGATGCAAAATGACAAACAAAGATAATGGAAAGGTATTTTTAAGCTGAACAGCAGTAAGAAAAGAAACAAAATCAAAGCAAGTCAAAGTATTTTGGAAGTTCATCCATCCATCTATTCACTCTCCAAACCACTTATTCTCTGTAGGGTCATGGGGGCTGAAGCCTATCCCAGCATCTTGGGCCACAAATCCATCCGATTAATGGTATTTAAGCAATATAAGCACTAGGTAACAATATTTGTGTTTGCGCTCAGGGGAGCTTCAATGGTTCTTACCTACAAAGTGTTTTTGCAGCGTTGAGTAATCGCAGACATATCTGTTGATTCCTTGAACGCAATGTTAATCACAATACACTCACTGCTCAAAATACTGGAGTTTTGTCCAGCGCTGATTTCTGCAGGCTCACGAACCCTCTCATTATAATAAACAAAGTGCAGATGTGTAAATAAGAGATTCGTTGATTATAATGGAACTTTGTGAGATCACGATGAACTGCAGTGAGTGACCACTTTTAAAGATAATTGGGTGTTTGCAAATGTGATATTGAATTAATATTACAGTTAAATAAACAAGTTAATATTAAGGGACTTACATTGTTTGACTTTAACAATATTGCATGATTTCGTCAACATAAATAGTTTCAAACAAAGTCAAGCAAACACAGTGGTATTTCGTTTATGAATGAACGTGCGTGTTTAAATGAATCTAGTGAGTCAATGATTCAATCACCCATTCACGAAGACAGTCACTTGCTTCGTTCCTGAATGAATCAGCCGTTCGAACGAATCAATTGAATGAATGATTCAGTAATAAAATCAGTGACTTGCCGCCACCTACTGGAGATACCTTTTTGTACTTAAATAGAATCAAAATTCGAATTATATTCGAATTTAAAATGCATAATTTCAGTTAGGGTGAAGAAAAGCTTTTGGCTTCTCTCCTGAGGCCACAAGAGGGCGAATAAAGCAAAATATTACTAATCCACATTTATTCAAAGCATACGATATCATGACTATCTGTGAAAAAAGTGCATAATGTTTAAAATAATGTTTATAAACCAATTATAATTAAGTTGCTTAAACAACTATAAACAAAACACCATCATGTATGTATGCATAGTTTAATACAAAGGGCGGAAAGCCAATCACACAGAGTACATTTTTCATTTAAAAACACTAGTTGCAGTGGGATGGGGAAAAAACAATCGCCATAAAGTCTCGAGATATGTTTTTTCAAAGTTGAACTTGCATTAATTTTACATGGCTTTCTAAACATGCGGCTCTTTTGTGCGAGACGGGAGTGCAACGGTGATAGACGTCCCTCTAGAAAATGCGCGAAATATGCGTTCTGTGTGAACGGCTTGGTTTCGGTTTTGATGTAAACAAGATCTTCTCCGCATTGATGTTCTCTTTTCCCGCAATATTTGTAATTAACAATGCAGCAGCGCCGCATATAGTGGCTTCAACTGGATAGGCTAACAAAAACATTAAAATGCAATGACACTTACATCGTCATTGCATTTTGACACACCGCAGCCACAATAGCACTGTATGACACATGCATCGCTTTTTTCGTTTTTCCTTTTTTATTCAAAATATTCACTGACGTGTTCACTATATTATGAAATATCTGATATTCTGATTCTCAAATATATGTAAGTAAATGTATTTGGTAGTGTAAACACCTTTATAATGACCATGTTAGTTGATCTATACCGGGTGATGGGCGCCGCCATGTTAGTTCGCGCTGAATCCGAGCTGTGAGATTTACGACACGTATTCTCCTCCCGAAAGGCATTAAAGTAAGTTTCCGGTGAACTGGAAGAAGTGTAGACTAAACTTTAAAGTTACCTACATATGTGTATATGATATCAATAAAACATGTCGTCAAATTATAATTGAATGGATTATTATTGCCACTTCCATAGACATCGGTGTGTATTTTACAAACTATACATTTATGACAAGCGAGCGTGTCCGTCTCTGACTCTGCGCCAGGAAAAGCGCGAAAGCAGATTTGAATTTTGAATTCAGCAGTTGATCACGTGACGCACTGAACGTTCTAATCACACCGGTGTGATCGTACGCTCCAGGGACCAGCCTAGAGTGATCACACCGGTGTGATCGTACGCGTTAAAGGGTTAACACACCTGATTCAGATAACCAGCTCGTTAGAAGAGAGCTGTGTTCCGAATGATATGATCCCTACACAGTGTCCATTGCTCCCTTCCCTGAGCAGGGGAAATCCGTTGACGTTTACTTCACTTTGGAACATTCATTCACGGATTTGCGCCGTGACATAATATACCTCTGTAAATAAATACAATTTAAATTCACGTCTCGCACACTTTAATGCTCTCTGAATGGAACATATACACTCGTTTCGTTTTGAACTGGAATCATGGCGGAATATCGGGTGATGTCCACTTCGTAGGGCACTTACGGTCAAATAGAACAAACGTCATATGTGATAAGAGATACATAGGCCTACGAAATATGCAGCGCAGGGGGTGTGAGGACTGGGATTGAGAAACACTGCGATAAGGCAAGAAGCAGGACCCGTGTAAATATCGGATCAGCTTTCCAGCACTGGAGAGAACTAAAGGAGCGGGAAGGCCTGCGATCGGACGGCGAGGTTGGTTTGTTTCTTCTCGATAGGTGAGTTACATTGGTTTTGTATAATCGTTGCCTGGGTAAACCATTCCTGTGAAATAAATATTCAATAGAAACATGTCAATTACATGTAAGAGCGTGTCTGGAACAGGTGTATGTGATATTTGTGTGATTTTAGGGACTAAACTCACCTGAAAGCAGTGAAAACAGCAGCGAGACTGAGATTTACGGTTTGTCAGTTGGTGTTGTAGCCCCGTCCATGGCAACTCCCTCCACTGCAGTGTTTGAATGAAAATCCAGTATTCAGCGTGCACGACCATTAAAACACGTCAAAGTCACGCAGCATTTACATAAATAAACGTCTAGAATTAGAACACCACATAAACAGCTTAAAATCTCATTAAATCATTATTAAATCGCGACTTTGAAACTCATTTTGTAGTTCTACGACCAATTCAAATAGGTGCAAAATGTATGATAGTGGGACAAAGTGGCACTTTTATATTTTAAGATTTTGTATCACTCAGCCTTTTTATTTAATTGAAAACACGATTGCAGTATTTTTTATACTAAACTTTGCTTTTGTTAAATAACTAGCCTAATATTTTTTTTTTGAGTCATGCAAAATAATAGAAATAGATGTAATAGGCTAGATATAAAAGGACTGATCTACTGGTCTTTTTTTTTTTATTAATAAACACCACAACACTATTTATATAACTCAAAATTAATACTTCATATTGCACTATAATTGAACGCAACTAATAGAAAATTAGTCTGGAATGAATTCTGGACCAGGCAGGACAATTTAGCTTACTTGTTCAACAACATGTTGAGTGTAAAGAACCATTTTATAGTCTAAAGAACCTTTCTGTGCTACAAAAAACCTTTTGTGCAATGGAAAGGTTCGTTGGATATTAAAGGTTCTTCATGGAACCATACACCCTGCCAAAGAACAATTTAAGAACCTTTTTTTTTAAGAGTGTAATTTGCTGCTTCAACTATAATTTTGCACAGCTCTATATATATTTTTTGTATTACAACAAATCAAAATCTGACAAACTACTTGAAGCTTCATAACCTTATTGTTCTTCAGTCTCATTGATGAAGTATCAAGATTAAACACCAACCTGTTTGTTCTTCAGTGTGTTTCATTCTGCAGGGTTCTGGATCTCTCATGTTCTCTCTGTCCTTCAATAAACTCTGTGTCTGCAGATTTCACTTCTTTGATGCTCGTCTTCACTTGTAGACTGATGGGAATATTCCAGCATTTATTGCTGAACTGCAGTGGGAGGAGCTTCACTGAAGGTGTGATTGTTGCGGGAGGAGCTTCACTGAAGGCGTGATTGTTGCGGGAGGAGCTTCACTGAAGGCGTGATTGTTGCGGGAGGAGCTTCACTGAAGGCGTGATTGTTGCGGGAGGAGCTTCACTGAAGGCGTGATTGTTGCGGGAGGAGCTTCACTGAAGGCGTGATTGTTGCGGGAGGAGCTTCACTGAAGGCGTGATTGTTGCGGGAGGAGCTTCACTGAAGGCGTGATTGTTGCGGGAGGAGCTTCACTGAAGGCGTGATTGTTGCGGGAGGAGCTTCACTGAAGGCGTGATTGTTGCGGGAGGAGCTTCACTGAAGGCGTGATTGTTGCGGGAGGAGCTTCACTGAAGGTGTGATTGTTGCGGGAGGAGCTTCACTGAAGGTGTGATTGTTGTACTGTACTGCTGTACAGTAAGAGGAGCAGATCTGTCAAAATCAAATAATAAATCACTTCGTACACATTTACACTAATTCACATATTTTAAGTATTTATGTTTATCTATCTAGCTATTTAGTAATATAACTTTTAAGTAAATTAATTGCAAACTGTTTTTTACTCATTCACAAATTCTATTCCCATTTTTGTCTCTTTTTATTTTTAGGAATTTCATCCACATATTTTATTCCTATATTTACCTGCCATATCTCATATATATATATATATATATATAGGCTAGGCAAAAAAAAAAAAGCTTAAATGAAAAGAAAACAAATATAAGCAATGTAAGAATTTAAAAAATGAAACAAGTTTAATAAAAAAAATAGTTTAAGAACAAATAATGTATAATTGACTTAAAAAAAAAAAAAGTTATAACTTGTAATGTCACAATAACGCATTGTGTATAGTTTGCCTAAGTCTGTTGACACCAACTAAATGAGCTTAATGTGGTAATTTAACTATTGACATGGGTTTCCAGCAGCTGTGATAATATTGTTGATCCTCAGACTAAAAACATTGAGGGCCTGTTTACACCTGGTCACTTCATGCATTTTCGCAGATCGGATATGATATCTATCCGATTTGTTAAAACGTTTCCATTTACACTTGGCCACATAAATGTGTCTTCGCAAAACGGATATAAATCCGATCTTCAATTCCCGTGCTATATGCAAATTTACCGGAATTCACATCAATAAAAGCAACAGACAAGCGCTGCATTTTATTCATTATCAGCTAATTTCAAGATCAAAGACCACAACAGGAAAGAGCATGGCGTCAGCACTGTAAAGATAAGTTAGTCTCACTACTTTTTAATGAAGATGATTGTGTGATGAGCGTCTGCGTCTTACTTTGTTTCATTTGCAGCAGTTTGTCGGTTTGCTGAAGAGATACTCAGAAACTCATCCGATGCGATAGCCATGATGCATTAGCGCTGTCATATCTGACTATAACATATCATATAGCCTATAACACGCTCTCACACGTTTATTTTATTTTTTACATTTTGGGAGGAGTACATTTTACATATGTGGGTTCAACAACCAGATTAATTTACACTTGTACAGTTTCATCTGGAATGCGGCCCAGACCAGCTCCTGAAGTGGTTTGAGCGATCAGATCTCGAAAGGGTTTCGGAGGGCATTTACACCTGGTCTTTTCACGATCGGATAGCTATCCGATCAGAGAACATGCATGAAGTTGCTCCTGTCTAGACTAGAATCTTTTTTGGGGCTTAAAGGCTCAGTCTTGAATAGGTTTGAATCATATTTCAACGGAGCAATATTTTTCAGTCAGAATTGGCAACTTTACCTCCTCTGCTGCTCATCTCGAATCAGGACTTCCCCAGGGATCTGTTCTAGCACCTCTGCTTTTCTCTCTCTACATGCTTCCCTTAGGTTCGATTCTGAGAAGGCATGGTGTATCTTTCCATTTTTATGCAGATAATACCCATCTATCTGCCTATTAAAAGAAACGACCCTTCAGCTATACAAACCTTATTTGCATGTCTTGATGAGGTAAAGCATAGGTTGGCTAGTAACTTTTTAACCGTAAGCCCTATTCGCACGGGATTAGTATTACCTGGTGACCTCCAGTCATTTGTAATAATTGCGGAGGTTGTCTGTGATCTTAATCCCGTGCGAATCGGCCATGTCTGTAATTTGTAAAGTAAAAATTACCCCGCAAATGACCTACCATATTTCGCCGAACACCGAGGTCCTGTGATAATATTAGTCCCGTGCGAATCGGCATCTCTGTAATTTGGCCAG